ATTAAATAAAATATTATTTAATAAGATATTATTATAAATATATAAATAAATTATTTTAAATACTAACACATTAATAAAATAATGATAAAATAATGTTATTTAATAATTTCTTATTAAAGCCATATCAGCTGTAATTAGGGCTGTAATTAGCCCATTTTCCCATCAAAATCCTCAACCTTTAGATGGAGACTGTGGAGGAGGGTCTGGAGTTCGAAAAGAGAAATTCCCCTTTGAAAACAGAGCGTGGCCAGAAGGAAAATAACTTGTGCCTTTTTCCACACTCAGAGGGAAGCTCCTGGAGGAGGAGAACAAGGTCCACGTGCCTCCCTCCCAGCGCATTCCCAGGAGCAGCCCTGCTCCCACCGCAGAGGTGAGACCCCGGAAGGGCTGGGATCAGCAGGAGCTGAGCCCTGGGGGGCTGGGGAAGAGCTGGATCCAGCAGGACGGGATGGAAAGGGCCCCAAACGTGGGAGAGGTTGCACCAACTTTGTGGGAAGCTGAAGGTTCCACGCGCTCCCTGCTCCCCTCGTCCCTGAGCTGCTGCGCCCCGGGAATCCCTTTCCACGGGGACAGGAATCTCACTTGGCACCTTTGGAGCTGTTCAGACCTCAGTTGTAGAGTTGGCTCCAAAATTAGGAGGATCAACCCTGAGTAGAGGGGTTGGGAATGTTCCTTCTGTCACCCAAAACCCTCAGGCTGAGCTGAGCGATGATCCCGACTCAGCTGAGCTGGAGGAAGAGCTTTGGGGGGAGAAAGGGGGGAAAAAAGGGAGAAATCAAAGACTTTTCAAACCAGCCAGGTGGATTTGGAGGTTTGTTGGGATGTTCTAATGTGGAGGGAACCCAGTTGGGGTGGAAATGAGGGGGAAAGGGCTGTTTGGGGCTCCCCTGGGCTGGGTGGGGTTTGGCTTGGGGATTTTTTTTAGTTTAATTTCAGACCCAAAGGTGAAATCCCTGACTGGCACCTCTGTGGGTCTGGGGAGAACTCTCAGTGGAGCTGGGGAGGGCTTGGAAAACCAGGATATGTTGGAATTCAGGATCTGACCTGCACCTCCTCCTTTCAAAGTCTCTCTTCCTTCTTCCAGGACTCGAAGACCCTTCACGTCTCCGAACGCCAACTCCAGAGTAAGGTGGTGCCACCTCCCTGTGCCAGGTACCTTGGGGGAGCAGGAGGAGCCAGGAGAAGGTTGTGGGGTGGATGAGGGAATGTGAGATCCTTGGAGGAGGTTCTGGGGGTGGGCGAGGGGTGTGAGATCCTTTGAAGAAGGTTGTGGGGTGGGTGACGAACGTGAGATCCTTGGAGAAGATTTTGAGGTGTGCGAAGGACGACTTAACAGTGGAAATTCCTTTCTAGCTTCCCACCCCGGGATCTCCCAGACCCCTTTGGTGCCATGAAGGCCCCTCAGGACATGAAGCCTGAGGGAGAGGCCGAAAGCCAGGACTCCTCCCTGGGCCTGTCCCCCTCCCAGCCCTCAGAGCTGGGCTACCTGAACGTGGCCTCCCCGGGGGACACCACGGCGTCCCCGCTGCAGGAGGAGAGCAGGAGCGTCGGCTCTGAGACCTTCTGAGCTGGGAATGTCTGTGCAGAGTCACCTGGATGCAGGACTGGGACTCCTGAGCTGGGAATGTCTGTGCAGAGTCACCTGGATGCAGGACTGG